ATTGCAATCGTTGATCCCATATATATTCTTGCAATCATAATTACTCTATGGATAGATTAAACGATTTAATAATCCAGCTTGTATCATTTTTACACATCAGTAAGATGAAAAAGCTTGGCAAGTTCGGTTACATAAACCATCTCTCGACCTCGATTAATGTTTATCTCCAACAGAACGTTAAGTATTGTGACTGTTGATCGTGGAAAAGCTCTTTCGTGACGTAGCCACGTGTAGAATCTTGAAAGCTTTCTTTCCGTGCGCTCTATTAATTACGAAGCAACGGTTCGCGTGATTTGAACTATTGGCCCCCGACCACCACCACCACCACAACCACCACCTTCATTTTCTTAGTCTTCCCCGTTCTTGTTCTTCTCTCTTTCCTATTCCTTTTCATTTTGTTCCTTTTTCTTTTCCTTTTATCTCTCACTCTCTCCCTTCATTCTCTTTCATTCTCCTCCTTCCCCCTTCTCTTCCCCCCCACACCCACCCTTTTCCCTATTTCTACTCACCTATTTGCTCACTCCTTTTCTCCTAACCTCGAGAAAAGGGGTTTCCAAACAAGACGACGAGGAAAACAAACCCAAAGTGAATAGGACGACGACGAGGAGCTAGGCGTAGAACAGACGAAATTCTTCTTTTCCGCGAAATATGCCAAACAGGGTGTGAGTCTAATATCGTAGATAAGTTCTGATTCGCTTTGTCTGCCGTGGTGGAATAAAAATAGTGTGCCGCGGAGGATGAGAAAAGAGAATAAAAGAGAAGGAAGAAGAAGAAGAAAAAAAAGATAAAGAATATCGAACAATATTTTGAGAAAGATAGACAGGTGAAATAAGGCTTTATATTAGACCCCGTGTATTGCGTGTGAGTGCTGCTAGGATGGTAGGGTAGGTGGATAGGTGGGTGGGTAGGTGGGTGGTTGTTTGCGTTTAGGTTGAACTTTATCGAAAGTAGACGAATATAAAATTTGAAAATCTCTGAACGAAATTGTCTTGTCCGAGGCGACAGTGTCAGCGTTGCGAGCTTAGAACGATAAAACTGGGTCAACGTTGAAAGCAGTTTTGTTCCCGAGTGGCTCAACCAATCGAACTCTTTCTTTCTTATCTTCTTTTCTTCTTCTTCTTCTTCTGCTTCTTTTTCTTTTACTTTTCTTCATCCAACGGGAAAATCGAAATTCTAACGTTTTAGTCTTATGAGCTCACAAAAACATGCTTCTTTCATTGTAGTTTTATTTAAAGAAAAATCGATTT